AAAAAAAAAAAAAAAAAAAAAAGTTGTGTTTCTCCACATATGGTATGGGAAAGGATTCAAGCAAAGCAGAAAACTTGTACTTGGCTAGTGTGATAACGAGCCTGCATTTTCTACCTGGAAGTAAAGTACTTGAACTTCAATCTAGTTGGTTAGTAAATGTGTACTTGTATTTTCCATGGAACAGTAGAAGTAATTTAAATGTGAAGTGCATACTGCCATAGGCATTGTATCTACAGTGGCCTTACCAGTTTAGAGAGCTGGTTTTGAAAGAGTGATGATGATAATAGCATATGGCATGTACACCATGTGAGGGACAGATTAGGTACTTTATGTAAATAAACTCAGCTATTCCATGCAGAAGAAAAAACAGCATTAGAACAAAGAACAAGTCGTTTGCCCTCCTGTCAGTAGTGAATTTTCCTTTCTGGCTCTAATTAGAATCACAGTATTCCTTATACCATAAAAACTGGTACTGATCTAATAAACATTGGAATTTTGCCTGAAGACCTGTGTGCTAGTCACAAGGTCAAGGTGACCAATGTTTTGACATGCTGGCTGGCCAGTGGCCCTGAGAGCAGGGCTTATATGGCACTAGGAAGCCTTGACACCATCTCTCCCCTACTCCTTCACTGTAATCATGACACTCACCTGTTTTAATAGCTCCTCACTTCTCACTTCATACAAACAGTGCAGACTGTTCTACCTGACATTTAAGACTCTAGACCTGGGACCAGCAGCTAGCGTAACGACTATGTCGCTGAACTCCCATGTAGCTGACCGTGTTTCGACCTCTGGACCTGGTGGCTTAAATTCATGCCAGGCGTGTGTGCATGTATGCCCAAGATTCCAAGAGGAGAATGAAGGAGGAGGGATTGTGGCATGGCCATCTCCCCTGGGTGGTGATTTTTCACTTTCTGTCTCTCTCTGTCTGTCTGGCGAGCGCACACGCCCTATAGTGAAAACTTCTACCAAAAAAAAGAGACTAGACCTAGTCATGTTTTCTACTTTATTTGTTACCTAAGTCTCTACTTGGGCCCCAACACTGTACTCGCCACCTCCTCAGCACTACCGCGCCTCTTCCTGGCCCTTTGCTCTTCCTGTACATCTTACCGGAATAGCTTTGCACCCTCCTCATGACTTAGTTCCACCTTTCCTTCAAGTCTTAGCTGAATATTCCACCTTTTCCATGTAGTCTTTCCCAGTCCGAGTGGAGGGACCTCACTACGTACTGTCATTTGTTGTTGCTGTGGCCAAATGCTTACTGTCTTGTACTGTTACCTATTTGTTCCATGTTTGTATGCTATTTTTTTCTCCTAACTAGATCTACTTCAATAAGACAGCAGCAATCCATTCTGCTTTCTTGCACTTTATACCTGGGAAGTCTCAAACATGGGAGTTTGTTCATAAAGTTCCTGTTAGATGCGTATTATGAAAAAACTGCATGGATTTCAAAATAAACTCATACTTTAATCCCATTTTCCATGAACTCTTTGAAGTCTCCTTATGCTTAATTTAAAATCATTCCCTTATTGTTCTGTTATTTGCATTTTGAGGAGAGATTTTTTGGTATAGGGTGCATGTACTCAACAGAGAGAGAGAGACAGAAAGCAAGAAATCACCCCTCTGGGGGAATGGCCATTGCTGTAATCCCTTCTCTCCCTTCTCCTCTTGGGATTTTGGGCATGTGTGCACACGCACACCTGGTGTGAGTTTCAAGCCACAGGGTCCAGAACTCAAACCATGGTTGGTTATGTGGGAATCCAGTGCTTTCACCACCATGCCACCTGCTGGCCCTGTTATTAGCATTTTGACATGAATGAATCAGACAACTTACTGTTAAATTTTTGTTATAATTCTAGGAATTTACTTGTACGATTTGTAGTTTTAATCTGGAAGTGGTTATGAATGGAAGTTTTGCTACTTCTCTTCATTTCTGCATTTGCCCTTCTGTTTCCAAAATCTTGACCATTACCTCTTCCTGGTCCCTCAGGGTCCCCAGTTTAAGACCTGGGTCTTAAAATTAATAGTTTGGAGAAAACTAGAGATATGACAGTCACTCAGCCAGTGGAAGACTGTCACCGTAGTCACATCAGCTTCCTACTACTAACTCTAAGTGACACCGTATTCTTCAGTCTCCTTTCTCAATGTTAAGCGGAGTTTGGTTCTGGTCACCCTCCATGCATAAGTAGTCTCTGGTGCTCTGGAAATGATATCCCTGGCCTGCTTAAGGATGTGGCGCCAAGCAGACCAGTAGCTTCAATCACATTCCTTGTATTTCCTGGGCTACAGAGATATTTCTGTTTTTGAATCCAGCTGTGCCTTTCAAAATAAGTTCTTTACATACTGTGTGTTATTTGTGTTTATGTATACATGCACATGCATACATACATGTGCACATATATACTCTCCATATTTTAGGTTTGGAGCTGGGGATGGGGAAGAATAGTTACTTGTTAGCTTGAGTTATTTCATTATCTGTGCTTGGTGCAGGTGCTTGATAAAGACCTGGCTTTTTTTTGCTTGTTGGTTTGTGGTTTTTGAATTTGCGAGAGAGTGTGTGCACTCACTGGAGAGAGACAGAGAGGGGGAAAGCACCCGCATGAGGAATGGTCATGCTGCAGTCCCTTCTCCATGTCTCCTTTGGGATTTTGGGCATACAGAAATGGTTGGCTTGTTTTTTGTCTCTAAGTCTGGAACTTGACTGTGCAGTTGCCTAGGGGTATCCAGATCATGTAGCCACCAGGCCATGGGGCTGGCCCTACCTGTTGATTTTTATGCCTAATTTGTACTCTGCTATTCTAGCACCCCTAGGTGCTAGATCTGAGATGTAGACTGGGAGCTGAAATCCACAACTGTGGAAAGGGCCAGCTCTGGCCTGCACTTAAGGTCGAAATCAACTGAAATTCACACATAGGATTAGGATGTAATCTATCCTCCCCAAAACTGTACTTTTCCCACTTCACTTTTCCAAGATGACTGTTCTCAGGGCCCACTTACTGTGGAGCAGCTCTTTGGTTCCCAGTGGACAGAGGCTGGACGTTGGGCCCACAGAGCTGCTGTTCTCTGTGAGAGCAACGGGGTTCTTGGCTCGCTTCTTGCACTCAAACACGACCAGATCTTTGCATTGTTTGTGGCAGTTCATCCCGCAGTCTGTGGACAAGACACCCTCGTTAGTAACTCTCACTTTGTCTCTTCTGGGTGCTTAATAACCTAATTCATGCAGTGCTCACGTCACACACATCTGTCCTGTCTTTTGGAGCCAGGACACTTAACATTCCTAATGAACCTAACATTCTTCTTGCCCTGGATCATATTATAATCTTACCAGTGAGTCACAGAATCAGAAGCAGCATTTCATTATCTTAGATGGAAGAGATGGTGTCCTTGTCATCCTGGACTTCCTGCCTACTCTAGGGAGACCTTCTGGAAGCTTCCAGTGGTTAGTTTACCCAGTCTTTCTTCCCTGTAGTAAAAGGTCTCCTCTCCTTCACTACTGCATTTTTGTATTTATGAGGAAGGGCAGTTAATGTCCTGCAATGCCTTCTGATAGAAAATGCTGACAGGGGCCTTCACTAATCACTTATCTTTTTCAGAAGTGATTCTTTTTTGTTGTGGATCCACCCTTCCCATGGTTATGCGAGAGTACAATCTCCTATCAGCCATCCCTATTTGCAGTGTAACCAAGGAAAAGAGATCTCCTAAGGAAAACTGTACAGCTGTCACCCAGGCCTTCTTCTCTTCTGCAGTCCCTTTCAGGGGTTAAACTGGGAAGGAAGCCAGTTCAGGGATGAGGTTCTGAATTCTGCTTACAAATTGGAGACTGAACAGACAACTACTGGGTGTGAACAGTATGTGTAAAGCATAGTGATTGTAGGAGAGCCCCTCAGCCTCGGGAAAGCACAGTTGTCAATGCTGGGTCTTACCTTTACATCGATATCCTTGTTTGATCACTCCCCAGAGCTAGGAGACAAGTAAGAGGCAGAAAGGACGACAGGTCATTCAGCTATTTGGTGTGAGGCTACCAGTGGACATTCATTCATTTTCCCTCATTCTTCTCTCTAACTCCAGTGGGTAGGAAACCTAGTTTATCTTTCATAAGTCTTGTGCCTTCTGACCTTAAATTGGAAACAGAAGTCTGTGCTGATCAGTCATGTCCTCAAGGAGCTCGCTACTGGGGCTTTAGGGCTGCCTTCTCCAGGCTTGAAATGGATGAATCATAGGACAGACAGGCCCCTGAGGACACCAAACTGAGAAACAAGTATGTAGAATCAAGAACCCAGGTTTACAAGAGACTGGTCAAAAGTGGGCAGTTCTTTTTTCTTTTCTTTTTGGAGCTTTTTGCCTTAGGGTGCATGTGCTTGCTGGAGAGAGACAGAGACAGAGACAGTGAGAGGGAAAGTGAGAAATCACCCCCTAGGGAGATGGCTACACTGTGGTCCCTTTACTCTCCTCCTGGGATCTTGGGCATACATGCACACACTCCTGGCATGATTTTCAAGTCACCGGATCTGGGACTGAAAGCGGTTGGCCATGTGGGAGTCCACATAACTACTATACCATCTGCTGGCCCCAAGGAGTTCTTTTTAAAAGGGGGGAAAGGGTGTCTCATATTTCCTTATTCTAACATTTGAAACAACATAACCCCCATTCTACATTTCTGTACCATTTATCCTGAGCCTCATGCACCAGAGAGGAAAAAACAAGAAGTGAGATAAGACGAGTGCAAATCAATACCATACCCTTGAGGATTAGGTTGTCGGTGTTTGCTTGGACTCTGGGCTGGGTCTATAAGGACTGTGAGATCTATGCCTGTCGTACTGGTTTAAACTGTCTCGTGTTTTCCCCAAGTTCAACCCTAAGAACAACTTACAAATCCAGCACAGTTGTCACAGAAAGTGGGCTTCAGGTAGGTGGTCTCTTGGAAGTTGTGAGGAAAGCCCAGGCCTAGCTTGGAGTAGATCGAGCTGGCTCTCATGAAGTAGGCAGTGATCTCATCCCTGCTGATGAGGCCTTCCCTGTCAGCAGCCACAGAGGGGAGGGTGTGAGTGGGGGGCAGGAGTTGCAGTGGCTTCTAGACTTAGAAACTCACCTTTCTTTTTATCCTCAGGTGTTTATATATTATGTATTACCTGATGCTTACTTCTGTGAGTCCTCCTCTTAATGAGGATACGAGAGTGGATCCTTATTAGTAATTAGTAAAGACAACATTATTTCCATAGCGTTGTTCTTTGGCAAGGCCAGATTTTCCTAACTAATTTGACCACTATCTACCCCACTTAAAAAATTCATATAAAATGTGTGAGTAAAGAAGGAAATGCTGCAGTTTTGCACTTCAGACAGTACATAACTGGAGCACACTGACATACATTTGATTTCCTATAGAGGACCAAAATACTGGATCATCAGAAAAGTCGTGATGCATTCTTGCATAGAAAAACAGAAATATATCATGACATTTCTGACGACCCAACAGAACTTACATAACCTTGAGAAAAGTCAATATGCAAAATATTAATATATGTTAGTTGTTTCCCATACTCTGTAAAGACAGAGCAAGAAAGAAGACTAAATTTTTTTTATGGTTTTCAGTTATCATTCATTCCTAAGCTGGCAGATTTATGGCATCTCTGGTTCTGAGGTATTTTTAAAAGCACGCATACTGCATGATCTGTGGTCCAAGCTGAGGCAAAGAGGCCTGCACTTGATGACGCTCTCGCAGTCCTTACGTTATTACGGAATCACAGCAGTTCATACATCTGAGCTGACACATTCTTCTAGTGACACGCCCACACACTCCTCCTCCCCAGCTGGTTTGTAACCACACATTATACTTCATAAACCCTCACCTGTCTTTATCCATCACACAGAAGGAAAATGGAAAACTTGCAGCAATCTTTTCAAATTCTTCCTGAGAAATGTATCCATCCTGGTCATGATCATAGTTCTTGAAGACAGACTGGAAAAGGAGTATCTTTGATTATTACTGAAAAGACACCAGTCAACTACTCCTTTAGCCAAATGACAAAGTGGCTGGGTCAGTTAGCCTCTCAATAGTGTGAGTGACAGGAACAAGAACACATGGTCCTTGAGCTGTGGCAAAGGTGTGGCAGGTCACGTCCCTGGCCTCTGTTGGTACCAGCATCTAGAGGGTAGCCCGGTGATTGGATTCTGTTAGCACATCAATTATGCCATCACCCTGGCTACCGTACACGCCTTCACTGCACAGAGAGTATTCTCCCTCTGCTTTACCTTTCATCACTCAGCTCAGATCTTCCCGTCTCTGAGAAGCTACTATTAACCATCCAGTTAGGGGGCCAGCAGGTGGCATGGTGGTTAAGGATGCTGGACTCCCACATGGCCTACCATGGTTCAAGTCCCAGACCAGGTGGCTTGCTTTCTCACTTTCTCTCACTTGCTCTCTCTGTCTCTCTGTGGTTAAATTAAAATAAATAAATAAATAAAGTTAAATAAAGTAATTCTTAAAAAAAAAAAAAAACAAAAAACAACCAACAGCCCAGTTAGAAGTGCTCTCTCCCTGCTCTTAATCCTCTGTTCCTGGCTCTGCTCTTAGTTTTCTGTTGTTACATGGGAGTGACCCACAAGAATAAATGCTGAGTATGAATATATATCCCCCTCCTCTGGCATTCAGCACAGAGAATTGAGTTAAGCTGTGCCCAAACTTGCAGTTTTAGATTCTTTTTGCCCTTAGTATACTCAGGCCTTTCCCAATACCTCTTTGCACGCAAACCAACAGCATTTAAACGTGCGCTCTCCTGGTACGTTTAAAAGGAGATACACCTGCCCCTGTGTGAGGACAAAGCATGTTGGCAAAATGTAACTTCATAACAGTTCTGCAGCCAAAACAGAAGTAGGTGGCTTCCTGTGCTCACTCAGAAATGAGCTGCAAGTGTCTCACCCTTACGTTTCTAACATGCTCCTCTGCCTTCTCTCCACATGCAAACCAAGCCAGGCATCTTTGCTTCTGTCTGCTGGCACACAGCTGTACTTACATCCACCATCCTCTGGACATGTTTGCTAATGGTCTTGGGGTCAGGTTTGGGAGATACTCCAGAGGCCCAGTCCACGACTACTGGTGGCTTTGAAGGTGTGAGTGGCTAAAATGAAATATTCAGAGAAGTCCCCATGAATACAGTGAATGCTATAGCTTCCAGTTACATCAATAGACAATGTCAACTGTGTGCAGTGGCAAGGAGCAGAGAGCTCACATGTAATTGAAATCTGTAATAACAGTCTTTGCCAATGTAGGTATTATGCTCGATGGTTTCCAAAGTGCTCTTTCCATACATTATCTCCAACTACAGGTAATTTAAAATTCTCCATTTGCCTGAGTTTCAATTGCCTCTCCATTAAACCTTTTGTCAGAGCTATCAGCAGAGTAAAGTGGATCATTTAAATTTTCTGTCTGTTCTCTAGTCACTTTTTAGTAGGGATGTAGATGAGGGGAGAGAAATAGCAAAAAGGCAAGACAGACAAAAAATATCTGAGTCCAAGGAAAGCTGAGATGGATTCCATCCCTAAATATTTGCAACCTGACCCAAATTAAAATCTTTTTCCCAAACAGTACAAGGTATTATTTTCACTGAAAATCGAAATACTGGGTTGTTGGGAAAATCATGATGCATTTTTGTATAGAAAAATACTTTATGACCTTCCTGACCTTAATATTTTCAGTGAACACTTTCCATGACAATAGGAAGTTAGAAATTGATCTCTATGTACAGAGGCAATGAAATTTAGCCTCAGAACAGATGAGGTGGGTTTCTTACATGGGGAGTTCTTTTCCCTTGAGTGCTACTTGTTTTTTGGGTTGAGAAGTTTCCCCGGGGACAAATGATTTCTTTTGCCTGCAGGAAAGGTGGAACCAGGTTATCTGTGAAGTTCCTACTATGTGCAACACTGAGGGGTGTGTCATTTTGAGGACTGATCAACTTAAGTGGTCAGAAGTTCCACTGGACTTCTCTTTCTGAGCCAGACTACTACTGGATAATGATACTGTCTGCTTAGCTGGAAATCCTCAGCGGTATAGCGCTCATTTCCATCAACGAATCATAGAAAAGACATAGCTCATGCAGGGACAGCTTTTAATAGGAGGGAACTGTCACTTCGGTCCACAATACTGTCACTCTGATTTGTAACCCCCTGACTGATTCCACTGACCTCTTCCGTTGCTCTTCTAGCATAGAGTTATTTACTGTTCCTACATTACTCTATCCCTTTAAGCAGACTCCAAGCTCTCCATGAACAGGAACTATTGCTCACACAGGTGTTAAGCTGTCTGTGTTCCCAGTACAGGACTGGGCACACAGTAGAAACGGTATGCTTATGAGACTGAACTAAAAGCCTGCTTCTGAAGATGGGTGACCCTGAGGAGCAGCCTGTAAAGCACCCATTACACACAAGTCTTAGTATGAAGCACTCACTGGGGCTTTGTGGTTCCGTGGTTCCCGGGCATAGGAAAGCTCATAGATTTCATCTTCTGTGTAGTAGAGATCCAGGGATAACTGCAGGTCAGAGCAGGACAGGGTTAACTTCTAGGACATTGATTGCCTTTCCCAGAGTTCACTTGTTTTTTTCTTGGTTCTTCTTTTTTTGGAGAGGTTTTTGCTATAGGGCATGTGCACTCGCCAGAAAGACAGAGAGAGACAGAGAGACATAGAGCAAGAAATCGCCCCCCCCGGGGGGGGCATGCTGCACTCCTTTCTCCATTCTCCTCTCAGGATCTTGGGCATGGTGTGAGTTTAAGCCACCGGGTCCAGGGCTCGAACTGTGGTCGACTACATGGGAGTCCCATGACATAGCCATTACGCCAACTGCTGGATCCTCTTGGTTCTTCATCAGTGGTTTACTCTTCTAAGCTCATAGTAGTTTATTTTTTAAATCCACAAAGTTTGGTGGGTAGAACACTTGCTATTGTGACAGGGCAAAATGTGAGTTCTTTCTTATTCAAATGTTTTTTTTTTTTAATTTTGGAGAAGTCCCAAGATGACCTCTTTTTGACTGTGGGTTAGTATAGAAGCTGCTCTATAAAGCTTAGGCCAAAGACCACCTTTGACCACATGATGCACACCTCCGTTATTCTCTCCCAAAACACACAGATAATCTAAAAAGATGGTTTACATGGCCTGATACTATGAACATTGGAATATAGCAACAAAATCTACTTTAAATGATAATAGCTATTATTAATGGCTATTGAGTTTTATATATCTTGATATTAGGAACTTTTACATGAGAAAGATCTTAGAAAGGATCTTGTTCCTGTGAGTCTGTGGACGGGCTTCAGAAAGTACAGTACTCCTTGAAATTACATGCATATTTGAATATATGGCATAAATATTTTTTTCTAGGAAGAAGGCTCACAGCTTTTATCTCAGTATTTATAATCCAAGAAATTTGAAATTCAGTGCATCACTTTCCAGATGATGTCTGAGGCAGAGACCTCCCCAGGTCACCCGGCTCATTAGCCAAAAGGGCTAGAATCTGACACCAAGACAGGATGCCAGCCAGATGTGAAGCTTTAGACTCTATCAGAGTCTAAAGGGAGGAGCTATAATCATTACTGCATTCAGGAAAAAAAGGTTAAAAATTATGTAATTTGAAACCAGCAGATGGCATTATGGTTATGTTGCTGAACTCCCACATGCCTGACAGCAGTTCGAGTCCTGGACCTGAAGGCTTAAAGCTCATGCTGGATGTATGTGTTCATGCCCAAAATCCCAAGAGGAGAATGGAGAAAAAGGGATTGTGGCATGGCCATCCCCCCCAAGGGGTAATTTCTCGCTTTCTGTCTCTCTGTCTCTGTCTCTTCAGTGAGTACACATGCCCTATAACAAAAATCTCTCCAAAAACAAAACAAAAAATTATATAATTTTAGAATTGAATGAGAAGTTAGAAGTCATCCCAGAGACTAATGTTTTTGAATTTATAATAGAGGAAATAGACCTGGAAAATGGTATGCCCTGTTTTCCAGCTACTGAGCTGCAGAATTGCAGGTCTGGAAAAGAGCACATCTGATCTCCCCTACACCCAAAGTGCAAATCTTAATCTTCTGCCTCACTGAGAGTTGTTCACCTCCCATTGGCTTGACCCTCTCCAGAACAGGGTTCTAAGGCAGTGGTGGCAGGACCCAAACAATGTTGTATTATTTTGACTTACTGCCTTACCCTTTTATGTGGAGAGCATACCATCTCACTATTACCAAGCCTTGTATCCTGATTTATTATCACCTCAAAGAGGTGGATAAACACTGCCAGAAATATGAAGAGATACTGCTTAAGAGCACAGCCTCTGGTGTCCCCCCACCTGAGTCTGATTCAGGACTCTGCTACTTAATGTGTGGTCCTCTGGCAAGTTATATCTTTGTATCAGTATCTTTGCCTCAGTATCCCTATCCATAAAATGGAGATGATAAAAGTATCTACATCATAAGAGTTTTTATGAAGATTAACTGAGCTAATATTTGGTAAGGTGCATAGCATGGCACCTGGCACACAGAAGGTGCTTAGTGATTGTTGTCCAGTTTGAACCTCACCGTTAGCAGGTGCACCAAGTCCTTGTTGGCCTCCAGCGGTGGGGCCACCTCTTGCAGCTGGACCAGTTCATTGATATGATTGTAAAGGGCCAGCAGCTTATGGACGTTCACCTTCCCATCCTCCAGATAGTCGGGCATGGCTTCATACAGGGAGATGAGGTCCTTGAGGTGCACCCCTAGGATGGGGATCTTGAAGTGGGTGCACTCTCCATAGGCTCGCCGGTAGTTGTCATAGTTTCTACAGGAGGACAGCAGCTCAGTCATCTCACCCAGAACCTAGAAAGCAGAAGAATAGGCCAATCACAGGTAGCTGTTGGGCAGGGAGTGTTGTCTGTAGTGGTCCCCTTGCTTATTCTCATTTCCTACCTGATTTCACTGTATCCCTCATTTGCTGGGCAGGGAATAATTCATCTATCTAAAAGATTATGACTCTCAAATAAAGACTTCAGCTCTGTCAAAAGTCAGAATGTATTTATAAACATAAGACAGGCTTTACTTGATTCTACCACATAATTTAAGATTTTGACTTTTTTTATCATTTGTATATATAAATTTCTTTTCAAAAATGCTTGATACAGAAATTTAAAAGGCACAAGAGTATACAGAAAACAGAAAGTACCGCTCTCACCCCCGATCCCAAGCCATGCATTTCTCTTCCCTCCTTTCTCTGTCTTTTGAACGCATCCAGAGACTCTTGCATTGCATAATATTTAAAATGTGATGTCAGAAGTGTTGACTATGTTGCTGGCATAGGGAAGAACATTTTTTTTAAGTGTGGAGCTTTAGTAATATATTGCATGCTCTTATTTTCTATGAGGTGCTTTGTGGGCCTTACCTCAAGAGTCTCAAAACAGGTGCATGAGACATTCCATGCACAGACTGAAACACTGAACAAAAACACTTTAATGGACTAGGTCATTTCCAACAGAGGACACAAGCAAGGATGAGGCAGAAGCTCCAGGGAGCTGTTCCTTAGAGTTCCCACCCTGCTCTGGCCCTGGAAGAAGGCGCGGCTGCTTAGCAGCACAGAAAGAGAGCTCCAGGTGGGGACCAGCAGTTAGCGTAATGGCTATGTCGCTGGACTCCCACGTAGTCGACCATGGTTCGCGTCCCGGACCCGGGGGCTTAAAACTCATGCCGGGCACGTGTGTGTGCGTGCCCAAGATCCCGAGAGGAGAATGGAGGAGAAGGGATTGCGGTGTGGCCATACCCCCTGGAGGGTGATTTTTCGCTTTCTATCTCTCTCTCTGTCTGGCGAGTGCACACACCCTATAGCAAATAAACCTCTAAAAAAAAAAAAAGAAAGGGCGCTCCAGATCTGGTCTTTGCACACCACTTGTTCTAGTCAGCAAGTATTCCAAACCCCATTTCCCATGCATGATGACCAGCCTTCTCAGGAGCAAAGACATGAAATGAAAGACTGCCAATCAAGTTACCACAGAAAATAGTCATTTAGTACAGTGTGTCCAAAATTTCTTTAATAAAATTGTGGTCCAAGGACCATTTCTCCATCATGAAGAACTTGAGATTTTGGAGTCAGCAGCTCCCCTTAAAAACTTTGAGGTGGCAAGAGAGCCTCACACACCTCTAGCAAATCATGCATGTGAGTGTGAAGTAGGGAAGCTGCTCACAAGTCAAGAGTTGAATAGCAAAAATGAGAGACATTTGTATTCTCCACAGAAACTAAAACCATTACTTGGGGGCTACTTGCTTCAACCTACTCATTATTTCACCATGTAGAACACTCTGAGGGTCAAGCAGCTACTGACAGGAAGCACTACTGCGGGGATCCCAAGCTGAAAAGGAACAAGCTATATAATTTAATTTTTCTAATTTAATTTCTTTTTATTTTCTTTTTTAATTTCCAGAGGGCATATGTGCTTGCTGAAGGAAGACAGTCAGCAAGGGAGAAGCATTCTCCAATGGGGCATGGACATTGCCACAATCCCTTCTCTCCATCCTATTGGGATTTGGGGCATGCACACACATACACCTGGCATGTTTTTCAAGCTCTGGGACAGGATATGAACTGCAGTCAACCATAGAGGATCTGGCTCCCTTAACCACTAGGCTACAGGGTCAGCCTAGCAGCAAGCACTATCTTGTAAGCTAAAATGGCATGAAGACATTTTAATTTCTGTGACTGTTGCCCTTTGTCACCTTTGAGATATGGGAAATCCATTCAGTTGTTCCACCCGATCTCAGCAGAACTGTTAGAGAATGAAAAGGTGACTGAAAACCCCCCTTTGACCAGATCACTGGTAGGTGAGAGCCTCTAGAGAGGCCCAGTGATCACTGTGAAGAGTTACTCTCCATGACAACTCAAGAGGGTTGGAGTTTGAATACTGTAAGGTCTCATATGAGATGAAAGTGAAAGAGTAGTACTAGATAAACCATGCCATACCTAAGTACATTTATATCCTAAGCATATCACAGTGGTTTACATTTATAACAGCTCTGTGCCATAAAAAACCATATTCTGTAAAATCTGAGAGCAAGTGTATAGGACGTTTAAGTAAAATAGTCCTCAATAAAACATTATGTATTACAAAATGGTACCTGAAGAGTTCATCTCCAGCTATCTGGGAAAATGTAACTATCCAACTCCAAGGGTTCTGGATAGCTGTTTTTTTGTTTGTTTGTTTGTTTGTTTTTAAGTGTCACCATTTAACTACATGGGACATGTAGACTGACCTATGTCCAACTGAACCACTGTTCTTGGGGAAACATTTGGAGCAAGGAGTTGGGGCAAGGGAGTCAGTGTTAAAGATTGTACCTCTTAATAGTCAGTGGCATGTGAACATGTGAAGAGGCACACATAGTTTTGACTAGCCCAGCAGGAAGGTGTCCAGTGACACTGTCTTGAGACCAAATGGAATATCAGTCACGCAGTCATCTCCATAAGGAAATCCATAGGATGGGGATTGGTACTTTGGTTGACAAGGGATGCTGTAGTCTGGGTATATCTGGGGGATGTCCCTCAAGGAGAAGACCTAGGTGTTGGTCCTAAGAGTGCTGTTAAGGCCCCCAGAGAAGACAGTAGTACTGACCTTATTGATTTCATGCGGGACATGTGAACTTGTCTCCTTGAGCCTGGAGATTGAGCTGTGACACAGTCCACCTATCACAGCCATCAATGTATTGAAGTTCTGTAGTTGGTGGAGCTTCTGTGGCACAAAAAGCAGGTGATAGTCACTGTATATGTCCATTTAATGGGGAGCCTGGTGCCTGCCTCTCATCTGCTGCAAATCTTACTTAAACTGGTCAAAGACTAGCAACAGGTGTTGCAATTTCTGTCCATTTCTCCCTTTTGGCTTAATCCCAGACTAGTGGATTCCAAATTCACTCCCTTTTTTGCAGATGATCTGTAGGCCACCGTGCAGATCACTGATTTCTAAGAATCACCCTAAGTACTCAGAGGTTTCTGGACCTGAATCCAGACATTCTAGGATCTAGGGATAGGCTTACAGATCTGAACTTTCAGTAAAGTTTAATATTAGAGTGGGTGGTCCATGTACCAAACTGAGACACACTGGTGTAGACCATTCAGAATCGGAAAAATACATCAGTAAGTGTAATTATTAAGGGTAATCTTTTTACTTTATCTCGGATTTACCCAATGTTTATTTCTGAGGATAAGGGCTTTGTCTTATTCTCCTGTGCAATGCCAGTGCTTATATAGTACAGAAACTGGGATGGAGAAGCTAGACTCTCTGAGAAGTTTCAAATATAGGCTCATAGTACCTGTTTTCCTTTTATCACGTGCTTAGACTGCTCCTCAAACATTACATGCAGCCATTCTACACAGCGTGAGCTCCAAGACAGAATAACACAGGCTGGCCCAGCCACAGAAAAAGCTGGAGTTGGCCTTCCCTTTGTCATGCAGGTCAGATGTGGAGAAATAAGTAGGCCTGTAAGCATCTGAAAAGTGTTAACATCTACAATCTAGAACTGTGTCCTGGCCCCTGCAATGGCCTATATACCCCTCACCACATTTGCTCTCATGTGGGAGAATAGAGAAGTCACCATTTCTAGATCTGAGGACCACTGAAAGTATAAAAACCCAACTGTGATTCAGGAGAAACTTTTTTTCTAACAGCTCTGATAGTCCAGGGTGTGTGTGTGGTGGGGGTAGGAGGGATAGATAATTTACTTACATTCCAGGCCAAAAATGTTAATCCAGTCACTCACCTGAGCCACCTGGATGAACTTGATGAAGACTTCTGCTCGGAGCTGTGGAGTAGGGCGGCTGAGAACCATCAGCTGTACCCACTGGGAGATGCCGTTGCATAGGGCTATGGACCGCTCCATGGTGGGGTTCTCCTTCACACAGCTATTTACCAGGTAATTCTGATAGTCGGAGAACTAGAGGAAATACCCATCCATCAAGATTGTGCTCTTGTGTTCCTGGAGGCCTGAGGGGCAGATCTGCTCTGCTGAGTTGATGGCTAGAAGCCGTCATGTAAAAAAAGAACTCCTGACCCTCCTCTCCTGGTCAGCACTTGGCCAACAAGAATGAATCACAGGTAAATCTTTCTTATTCTACCCACAGAATGGTCTTTCTTCATCAAAAGTCATTAGGCATAAGTGGATATGTACACCTACTAGTTAATCCAAATATTGTATCTGAGTAGATTCTGTTACTGTTCCCTCTCAATTCTAAATACAGTGTAAAAGAAAAATCTCAGTATTAGTTCCAGCTCTGCTGCTAAAGTTAAGGGAATAAACGAGTATTCCTCTCACAAAAACAGTTCTTTCTCCCCAACTATTTTCTTAGCTTAAATATGACAATTTCTGCACTATGTAGGTCATGGAATTGTTATGAAGATCAAACAAGAAAATGTGTGAAAGCACTTTAATTTCTCAAAGTGCTACATAAATGTAAGGAGATGCTAATGGGATTTTAACCTTATGCCAAAAAAAAGCCTCTTTTGGGTTTTCCTCTATTCACCCACTAGAGCAGGGGCCAAATGAGTGGGATTATGAAACTTGATTAGCTATATATTCAGTGACTGTAGTTTCCCAATCTGACACAGGCATTGACCATGGTTGACAATGAAATGGCGTATGTGAAGATCTGGTCTATAGCTACTGTGTTCCCACCACAAAGAATCCCTCCACTCAAACTGCATCACCAAGAGAGAGGAACAGTCGGCTCACAGTGGCGGGGCAGTAGGGAACTGCTGTGCAGTGCTGGAGCCCTATAGAAGGCTCCGGGCTAGCGTCCCAGATCTCCCTGAGCACACCAGGCCTGCCTGCAGGTAAACTCGTGATCCTGGCTGGCTGCAGGGCTGAGGAGAGGATCAAGACCCTGTCGAGGGTATTCCCCCCACCCAGAAGGAAATAAACACAAGCTTTAAAAAGATGAAATAAAGGTTCAGACTGATGTTTTCATTTGTGACTAGAACACAGGCCAATCCCTGGGGAGACTAGCTGGGATTCCTTGCTCCACACTGATTGTTCGCTTCTGTCTCCTCTGACCTGAGCATTGACATCAAGGAGAATATCCTGTAGGTTTGACTGAACAGTCCTGCCAGCGCGGCCCCAGCAGAGCTCAGATTTCCAGTGTGATAAATGGCTCTTTTCAGTGGCTCTCAGCTGACTGGTCTCCTGCCCCGTGATAGGGGAGGCACTGCCAAATGGAAATTCCCCAGATGGAGTCTCCTAATCACAAGGTCTGGAGTCCTGTCTGAGGGGTTCCAGAGAAGGGGCCAGGGGAGGGGTGTTGGCAGAGTGGATAATACAGGTTGATGCTTGTGGACTTATTTCCAAATGTAAGCTGAGAGATTACTGGCTGACTGGCCAAACAGCTGTGTGAAACAGGGGGGACATTAGCATTGTGGAAGCAAATATGAAATGACCCCTATAACCTGGCTGGCAGGTGTCCTTCCAGACACAACCAAGCTCAGTAACTTAGTGCTGGGTGACCGACAGAGGCATGTAGTCCTGGTCCCAGTCCTGACTCTCATAAGCTGCATTGACCTTGTTCAAGTTATCCCTCTGGACCTCCATCCCCTCACATGGGAGCACGGTCATTCTGAGAAATGCAGCCAGTAACTTAGTAGTTTCTATTTTTAGAGCAAAGCTTAAGGCCGTACCTGTTGACAGGGGTGGGGGCTAAGTGGAGTCTCAGTTTTCCGGAAAGCATATTGGCCAGTGTGGCTCTGTTGGCATCTGGCAGGCTGACAAGGTCTCTTGAGTGGAACAAATGGTTTTTGGAATTACATTTGGAGGTGTAAGGATTGCAGTGAGGAGAGGCGGGCAGCACTTCTGTGCTCTTTCTGTTGCTGAGGATAAACTGAAATCTCTCTCCATCTCCCTCCATCACCTGTAACTTTGACTGCTTAGCTGCTCCCATAGCAAGAACTGGGTCAGCAAAGGTTATCTCTAGAATCATGCTAACTCCTAGGTTAGACCAGTCGCAACTACTGTATTCTGGAAATTTCCAGAGCCAGTCAAGGTCTATTCTAGAATAAATCCAAACTCTGAGAAGATATATCCCCAATTTTTTTTTGAAGAATTTAAAAGAACTTTCTGAAAGCCTCATGATCATCAGGGGTAAAAGGGATATGTGTACATTCCCATAGACCTGTGTGCCCATAGCATTTGCACCTAGAATGGTGGGATGGGGGTAGGGTGGGCTTGAAGGCTGGGAGATGGGAGAAATAGAGCAGGAGCAACCCCAGGATTCAGACAACAGCAATCCTCCACACTGCATGATGTCTCCCAGCACTGAGGGAGCCAAGAGGGCTAGGCCTGTTGACAGGGGTGGGGGCTAAGTGGAGTCTCAGTTTTCCGGAAAGCATATTGGCCAGTGTGGCTCTGTTGGCATCTGGCAGGCTGACAAGGTCTCTTGAGTGGAACAAATGGTTTTTGGAATTACATTTGGAGGTGTAAGGATTGCAGTGAGGAGAGGCGGGCAGCACTTCTGTGCTCTTTCTGTTGCTGAGGATAAACTGAAATCTCTCTCCATCTCCCTCCATCACCTGTAACTTTGACTGCTTAGCTGCTCCCATAGCAAGAACTGGGTCAGCAAAGGTTATCTCTAGAATCATGCTAACTCCTAGGTTAGACCAGTCGCAACTACTGTATTCTGGAAATTTCCAGAGCCATTCAAGGTCTATTCTAGAATAAATCCAAACTCTGAGAAGATATATCCCCAATTTTTTTTTTGAAGAATTTAAAAGAACTTTCTGAAAGCCTCATGATCATCAGGGGTAAAAGGGATATGTGTACATTCCCATAGGCCTGTGTGCCCATAGCATTTGCACCTGGAATGGTGGGATGGGGGTAGGGTGGGCTTGAAGGCTGGGAGATGGGAGAAATAGAGCAGGAGCAACCCCAGGATTCAGACAACAGCAATCCTCCACACTGCATGATGTCTCCCAGCACTGAGGGAGCCAAGAGGGCTAGGTGGATGGGCTGTAGAATTTCTCTACTTATTTCCAGAAATACCCCTGTGGGTACTTACAGATATCCTTCGGAAGGACTTGAACTCTAGGTAGGTGAGGTGCTCAGAAAGCTCTTCTGGTTCCAGATGGTCAAAGAGCAGGGAGACTTTCCGTTTCTTGCTGGTATTTGATTTTATCCTTTGAGTAAGTTTCCTAGACCAGTCCCGGGCATTACTTTTGTGGGTAAATGTGACAGAGAGAAGACAGGGGAAAAGAATAAATCACTATTGCTCTTTGCAATGACATCCATTAACATTTCCCACGAGGATATACAAAGTACCATTAGCTAACTTTGCTTAGCTACAACAACACACTAACAGTTTCCCCAAATCAATTTCTACTATGGCAGTAACCAGGAAGCCTTGCTGGTTTTCAGTCAGCCTTCTGCATGTGCAATGGGGGAACAGGTAAGTAAATTTACTCTAGGTGATGGGAAGGGCAGAGTCTCAGGCAGCAGCACGGTTTCCTTGCCTTTGATGCTGGCTTCCCTGTGTTGCCCCTGGTATGCCTGCTCGCTCCAATCTTCCAGGGAGCCTGCATTCTCATGAGGGTGATGGGGACTCTAGCTAGTTAGAAAGCGCAGGGTAGTGAGAAGAGCTCAGAGAACCACAGAGAGAAGATGACCTGCTACAGAGAATCACATATAGGACCATGCAGTAGAGTTGTGATATTTTTCTCGAATGTACCTAGCCCTTGAAATGACCAAGGAAGATTAGCTGACCACAAAGTACCGTCTGCCTCCATATTTTCCTGTATCAATTCATGTATTTCTCACTCAGTGTCAATTTCCTGGACTAAGGAGGCAAATGGAAGCAGCCCCATTCTGAAAGGCAGCAGGTGGCAGATATGTGTATGTCTGGGAACTTTCTCTCTTCATAAAAGAGCCTCTTAATAAATGAGTTTGGGAAATGCAACAAATTCTATAGCCCTCTGACCAATGAGCACATTAGAGACTCTGACATGCATTGCAAATGGGAAATTTAACTCATTATTCCTTAAATATATCTGGTCAGGTAATATCTCACAGACTAATCCACTGTGGAAAACAGCAGAGGAAAGTCAGCGAATATAGACTTGGATAAGGAGATGTAGGTATGAGAACTTCCCTGGGCTCTAAGTTCTTCATCTTTAAAATGAAGAAACTGTCATTTTGAAAAATCTCTTTTATCTTTCTGGTTGTGTAATTCTAAGGAGAGAAGTACAGAGAACAAATCTGACTAACATTCGGGGCTATGGAATGTGACCTTGAAATGACTTCTAAGTGTTTTTAGAAGCACATATGGAGGTGTAAGGATTGCAGGGAGGATATGAAGCACTTCTGTGCTCTTCTTGTTCCCGAGGAAAACTGAAATCTCTCTCCCTTCATCTCCCTTCACCACCAGTACCTTTGACTCTGCTTTTGCTCCAGTAGCAAGGACTGGGTCAGCATAGATTGGAATCATGCTAACTGCTAGGCTAGACCGGTAGCATTTACTGTATTTGGGATTATCCAGAGCCACTAAGAGTCTTAGAATGAATTCAAACTCTGAAAGTGTATATCCACGGAGGCCAGCAGGTGGCATGGTGCTTGAAGTACCAGACTGCCTCACGGCCACAGTTCAAGCCCTGGATTTGGTGGCTTGCTTTCTCACTTTCTTTCTGGTGAGCTCACATGCCCTATAGCAAATAAAAATAATAATAATAAACTTAAATAAATAATTCTTAAAAAAAAAAGAGTACATATTCCCATTGGTATAGTGTAGTGGAACTGGCCTCACAGAGTAGCTTCCATTCTTCCACTAACTTAACCAGCTCTGACGAGCCACATTCTTGCTAAGCCACCGTCTTCTAGTTGGAAAAATCAGGGTGTTGAATGAAATGATCTCTAGAGTATGTTTCAGTTCTACGATTCTCTCTTAGAGATTTGTATGAAAACCTTTGCATACAATGTGAACACATCTTTCCTCCAAATTAGAGAGTAGACCAAACTCATAAATAAGAAACCCAAGGAATAATTTGAAATATGCCCCAGATCCCTTGCAGTTTCTGAAAGTGTGAGTGTTCTTCATGGGCATCCATGTGTGCTGGAAACCCTCTGCTCAGTCCTTTTTTTTTTTTTTTTTTTTTTTTTTGGGGGGGGGGGGGGGGGGGGGTTTAAATTTTATTTTTTTATTATTTTATAATAAATGTGCGCTCGCCAGACAGAGAGAGACATAGAGACAGAAAGCGAGAAATCACCCCCCAGGGGGATGGTCATGCCGCAATCCCTTCTCCTCCATTCTCCTCTCGGGATCCTGGGCACGCACGCACATGCGCCCGGCGTGAGTTTCAAGCCACCGGGTCCGGGACGCAAACTGCGGTCAACTACGTGGGAGACCAGCGACATAGCCATTATGCTAACTGCTGGTTCCCTGCTCAGTCCATTTTTCAGCAGTCCCTTTCCCTTTACAAGTTCAGGGGAACCTCTTGACAATTGCTGTGAAGAAGCATGAGTTCAGTCATTGCACTTTCAGTTTCTCAGGATCTGGGTACAACTTAGTCAGTATCTGGCTACCTGATTTCTTCCTGCCTAGGAATTATTTTTTTTCTGTTCTTGACTATTAGTCACCTACATCTTTATGCCTAGGGGGCTGCTCTGCTTTGCTGATAAATGTCAAGCTTTCACTCTGGGGAGGCAGAGTGGGCCTGTCCCCCAGAGGGGCTTCTCAGAGTAGCAAAAAGGAGCACTGAAGTCACCACTGGCTCGAAGCCTCGCAAAGCATCCTAGCTTACCCCACAGGAGGGAGGTGGTTTGAAAGATTCATCAAATCCTTGACACTCACATTTGAGTTGTATCAATTAGGCGGCAGTGTAACTCCTCACCATTAGCTTTCACCAGTTCCTGAAACTCCTCCATAGTGTTTGTCAAGCTGGCATCCATTTTAAACATGATCCAGAATTCTGTTATCCAGTACCTACAAGGAGGGAGTTAAACAACACAATCCAGAACTGAAGCCGAGGTCTCACAACTTAGTGGGTTCCCAAAGGAATTTGTTGCCACAAAGAGGTCCAAAAAAAAAAAAAAAAAAAAACAGATTTTTCCTCTGTATGGAACGAGCTGATGTGGGAATAAGGAGGGAAGAGGGAAGAGCAGCACCCACTGAAAGTCTGTCCATCCACACACAAATGCTTTGATTAGAAAAAGCATACGTAATTAAAGAAGCCACGAGAAAGACTTAGGCACAATCAGGTATGTCAGAAATAATTACAAAGGAGAGAACCACAGACAAACTAAATGTCTCCAAATGGAGCAAGGTATCTGTAAGTTATGCTTTATTGCATGTTAGAATACTACATGGCCATTAAGAAGCATGTTTACCAAAAAAGTCTCTAATGACTACAGAAGACTCTTGTGATATAAAGTTAAGTGAAAACTGCAGGATATTAAACTCTGAATTTTGATTTTGACAGTGTTAAAAAAAATCTATGTGGAAAAAAAGACAAAAGAAATACACCCAAAGAGGTAGTTCCACATAAGTGATGACTATCATTATGTTCTTTTCTGAATTTTCTAAATGTTCTGCAATGATCTCTAGTACTTTTATAATTAAGGATAAGAATAAATAAAATGACAGAAATCCTTCATTATCTCTATATCCTTCCCTTAGATCATTTGATACCAAAATGCTATAAGACTGAAAAGAAATTGGTATAAAATATTAAGCTTAGGTATACCAGAAAAATATTCACTATGTTTTGTTGAGGAATTTCCAGTACTAAGGATAGTCCTTTTCTGTCTGTCTAGAAGTGCTCTATGGATAGTCAGGAAGGGAAAGGAAGGTGGACCAGGGAAGAACGAGAACCCCTTGCTTCGGCTTTTCATTTTACCCAGCTCCACAAAGTCTCCAAGTACATGAAGAAACATTACCTTACAAAATAGCAAATCTTCAGGCAAAGCCCTGGTGAATTCTTTGCCAAGGCATCTTTATAGGTAAGGCTGTGGTTAAGGGAAATGGAGGCCTCCATTTTAAAAATGAAACAATTTTTATCTTTTGAATTAGACCACCATCTTTTGCTAAAACCACCTCCACAAATAATTTTTCTAAAAAGCGAAAATGTGATGTCTTATTTCTCTGGCCATAGGATAAAAACCAACTTGACCGTGTCCATCTGTAGCATATTACCATCCAGAAGGGTGATAAGAGGAATCCGCTCGCTAGCCCATGCTGAAGCAGCTTATGGAAGGAGGCTGCGGACTCAAGCTAATTCCTTTGCAGGAGTGGAAGCAGGACATCAGCAGTACAGAAAGGTCCAAGGACAGGTGATGTATAACAAGGGAAGAAGGGGCAAATGACCTCTTGCTTGTGCTCCAGAGAGTAGGAGTCCAACTGAGAAAATTAGAAAGAGCACCCTTTTATCTTTTAAGAAGTTACCAGATACCAATGAACATTTTGTGTAGTGAAGTAGAAGAGAAATACCTATTCAGACAAATTATCATGATACGTAAGAATAATAATGTGAAAATTGTATCTACCTAGAGAACGTCAGTAGGTTGACCTTATGTGTTGCTTTGGCAAGTCAGACAAAGCCATGTGGCTCTCCCAAATACAACTAGTGATCACCCTGGGGACCAACATCATTCTGAATAGTCTAAGAATATGAAAGAATAGCAAGACCTCATCAAATTTCCATGTCTTTAGAGATATATGCAAGGAATATCCATTCAAGAGCCAAAGAAATGAGAACTCCAACCCAGTGATGATACCGAGTGCAGTCGGCCACCTTCCATCCACAGACTAAGGAATCAGGTTCTATGACTTTATGTCCTGCAAGGC